CTTGTAATCCAGCAATTGTTTAAGATATTTTCTCGGGGCTGGGACTGTAGCTCAGTGGTAGAGCGCTCGCCCAGCTCAGGCGGGACCCAGGTTCGATCCTCAGCACCACATAAAAATAAAGGCATTGTGTTGTATCCATCTACACCTAAAAAATAAATATTAAAACAAGATATTTTCTCAAGATAACTGACAACACTTTAACACAAAAAGAACAGTATGAAAATGTCTGTAGCATCTTTGTTCATACAGCTCAAACTGCATACAACTGAAATTTACACCAGAAGGAACATCCATAAACAAATTGCAGTATATTCACAAAATGTAAAATCATGCAACAATAAAATGAAACAACACAAGAAACAACTTGAATAAATATCTAAAACATTATTCTGAGATTATAAAGACGGACGGACAATAGTACATATTGTATGACGGCATTTCTCTGAAACTCTAATATAAGCAAAATTAATCTGTGGTTAAAAGACAATTACCAAATTGTATCCTAATATTTTATATATTAAAAAAGGATTATTACTTATTTTAAAAAGTCAGTTGACTTTGTGAAAGAATGGGGACTGGGAAGGGATACAAGGGCCTTCCCAGAATGAAAAAATGTTTTTTTAGGGGGTTGGGTTTCATGAGTGTATGTTTTTCAAATAGTGGAAATATAAGACCTGTACATTTCAACATAAACTTTTTACAAAAAAAAAAATCCTACACCATTTTCTTTTCCTTTCATTTACTCTATTGCAAAATCAGCTGAAATTTTTTGTTTCTCTTTGATTATAATGTATCTTTTATCCATCTGCTTTTTTTCTCATTACTGTTTTCAGCAATCTAGGTTGTCCATACATGTGGATTTTCTTTCTTAGAGATAAAAATTCTTAAATTTATCTTATTTGATATTGTCATTATTTGAAGAAAATATTTAACCTTCATCTTATTAAATATTGTTTCTTTTTCCTTCACTATCCTCTTTACTAATTGGGACTGTAATTATACATGTGTCACTGCAGTCCGTGTTTCTTAGATTGTTCTGTTTATTTCTATTTCTTTTCTCTTCGTACTTCACTTTGCATATTTTATATTATCCTTATGCTTTCTTATCCTTCATTATTCTCTTTAGTACACATAATTAGTTAATTGTATGTATTTCCAGTTTTATTTAACAGGCCCACTGCTTAACTCCCGAATCTGATCTTTCAGTTCCACAATTTAAAAAGCTCTTAGGGAAAAATCATGACACTTGCTTTTTGACTGAACATTATTTCCTGTGTTGGTAAATTTTCCATATGCACATGAAATGAATGTCCATTTTGAAATTGTTAGATGCAAGTTCTATTTATCTTAATTATATTTTATTTACAGAGTGTGCTGTCCAAATACTCAAAAAACACTACTTTTGATGTGCTTGTCATATCAGCAACTGGTATAAATTTTATGTGAGGCACTTCAATTTTCCAATCTGTTGCTCTAGATCAGGCAAGTGTTAAATGCCTACTTATGTTCTATTTCACAATGCAATCCTTTTGTGTGAGATAAACCCCACTGCCCATGATTAGAATCAGTGAAAGACACCTACAGAGTAGAAAATGGCTATTGCCAAGATCACCCTATCCACAATTTCAATTGTTCTGATACTATTTTCACAGATCATTTTTCTTTAAAAAAATTCTTTTTAAAATTTCCTTTTTTGTTGTGTGTCTTTTTAAATTTTTATTTCTTTTATTATTATTTCTATTATTTTTATTATTATTTATTGTGTGTGTGTGTGTGTGTGTGTGTGTGTGTGTGTGTGTGGTGCTGGGGATTGAACCAGGGCCTTGTGCATGCAAGGCAAGCACTCTACCAACTGAGCTATATCCCCAGCCCCTTAAAAGTTCCTTTTTAAAAGTTGTTGAGATGAGATCATTGCCCTTCCAAGATCTGAGATTCTACCAAGAAGTGTAAATACATGACAATTTTTAATACTATGCCAGTTACTTTGTTTAAAATACCACATTAAGAATGTGTCTTTAACTTCATTGCTTCATTTAACTTTTTTCTCTATTCTTAGTATTTCTGGTAAAATAAAATTTGATCCAATAAATCCATTATGCACAGATTAATAAATATTTATAAGAAGGTCTAATAGGTGATGCTAGCACATCCCATCATGGGACACTTATTTTGCCCATTTATCCCAATTTTAGTGAGACTCAACTGGATCCCTTAGTGGTATAATTTGGATATATTTTGTCCCCCAGAGTCATGTCCTGGCAGCTTGGCTCCAGGCTGGTAGTGTGGTGGTGTTGAAAGCTTTAAAAGATAGTTAGGTTACTGTGGACATCATCCTTGGAAGGCATTAATGTAGTTCCCTGAAGGTTATAAAACAAAGCCACCCTATTCACTTGACCCTTTCTGAATATAGCCAGTTCCTTTGGTTTCTCCACATTTTATGAGGCAGTCAAGGAGACTTTGCCACAGAATGAACAGATGGAGCCACCTGATCTTGAATTTTCTGTTTCCAAAACTGAGCCAAATAGACCTTATTTTCTTTTCAAAATACTTAGACTCAAGTATTTTGTTAAAGCAACAAAAAGACAAATATACTTGGTTAATGTGATGCAAACTAGTCCTCTCAAATCAATACAAAGGCATGTCTTCCATCTGAACTATACAAATAATCTATTCATTAACCCTTTTATACTATGGGAATATACTGTTTCCCCAACAATTTTTACAAGTGATTTTGATTTTAAGCAAATAAAATCTTTGATTTTTTTCAAATGTCTCTACTAAGTTAAACTCTGCTTGGTCTTAATGTGTGACTGTGTGTGTGTGTGTGTGTGTGTGTGTGTGTGTCTGTGTCTGTGAGAGAGAGAGAGAGAGAGAAAGAGAGAGGGATTGCATTGTTAAAATCTATTTCCTTTAAATGTTTTGCCAAAATTTTCTCAAAAAATACTGATTTTTCTTTTATTGTTAATATTTTATCCAAGATTTGTTACTGGATTTATCCTGGCTTCATAAAACAAGTTTGTTTTCTACTTTTTGAAAGAGTTTGTGCAGAGCTTAGTAACACTTCTAAATATTTGATAGACTTCTCCACTGAAGTCATCAGAACATGGAGTTTTCTTTTTGTCAAGGTTTGGGATTCCCAATTCAATATTTATTTTTAGATCTTTCTGTTTCTTCTTACATCATTTTTGATAAGTTGTGTTTTAAGGATATTTAAATGTCAATTTAATTTACTAAATCTATTGGCATAAAGTTGTTTATAACATGCTCTTCTATTGTCTTTAATATCAACAGGCTATATAATGATGTCCTCATTTTCATTCTTGATGTAAGCAATTGATGTTTTCTCTTTTTAACTTGATCATTTTTCTTAGTTTCCTGCCACTACAGATGATCATAAACTGAGTAACTTAAAATAGAAATGTATTCTCTCACAATTCTGGAGGTCAGCAATCTAAAATCAAGTTCCCCTCTGAAAAGTCTGGTTGCAGGCAATCTGTGACATTCCCTGGCTTGTAATTCCATCACTCCAGTATCTCCCTCCATTGTTGCATGGCTATCCTTCTATGCCCATGTCTTCATGTGGACTTATAAAGACCCCAATCATTGGATTTAGGGTCCAGCTTTATATAGTATGAACTATTTATATCTATAAAAACCCTATTTCTGAATAAGATCACACTGTGAAGTTTTTAGGTGAACATGGATTTGGGGACAGATACTATTCAGGCCAGTATATCAGTTTTGTAAGATATTTATCAATTTTTTTAAAATTCACTTTTTTACTGGGGATTGAACCTAGAGGTACATAACTACTCGGCCACATCTGCAGCCCTTTTTATTTATTTTGATATAGGGTCTCACTAAGTTGTTTAGGGCCTCACTAGGTTGCTGAGGTTGGCCTTGAACTTGCAATCCTATCTTAGCTTCTCAAGTTGCTGAGATGGCAGGTGTGCACTACATACCTGGCAAAAATTCATTCTCAATTTTGTTGATTTTTCTCTGTTAATTTCCATCAATTTCAAAGGAGTCCTTAGTTAAGATGCCTTCAAACTTTTCTTTTATACCAAGTGGTAGGCCACTTGATTTTTTCTTTCAAATCTGATATTCTTATTTTCACTCCTTTCCTTCTTGATTTTTACTTTGTATGCTTTCTGTTGTCCTGTCTTTAAGTTTATTGATCCATGTTGTCATAGATCATATTCTAGCATTGCTTCTACTTTTTTATTTCCATATCTCTGCTACAATCCTCAATTATTCATACCTTTTATTATTGTTATCAACCCTTGATAATTCAAACAACCTGGTAATTTTCAAGATTGCTTGTATTGACTGTTATCTTTCTGGATCAAATTTTTACTCCTCTGCAAGTCTTATAATGTCTTACCATGCGCAGGACAGTAGGTATGAAAAGAAATGATGGTTATCTTCAGAAAAGGCTATGCCTTTCCTTAGTCAGACTCCTAGAGTGGAAGGCTGAATTAATCTGATTTGCCATTGAGGAAGAGCTGGGCTTTACTGAAGTGATAGTTTGATTCACTTTATCATTCCCTTCAAATATATTCTGAGTAATGGACAGAATTTCTCAGCAGGAACTGAAATTTGAGCACTGGTGAAATTCTAGTAGAGTCTTTGCACTTTTCAACTGCACTGTCAGGGTTCTAAATTATAGATTTCTCTTTGCATTATATCACAATTGCATATTTTAGGTATCCGGGATATTCTCTTTGATATCTATTCCTATTCTTGGCTTTCAGACATATCACCTACTTTTAAGACCTACAACACCTCACAAAGATTTTTCCTTTTTTAAGGTCTATTCTGTATTTTTTTCCTTCCTTATAAATGAGAATACCTTTGCTAAAACCAGCACTTTGACTGTTTGAAAACAGGTAAGATGTACATAATGAGATTTACAGGGTACTAATAAGCCAATATTTATTGAGATTTTAGTTTGCAGGGAATCTGTACTGGACACTGCAGAAGATATAGGAAATGTCAACTTTCTCTTTCACACATTTATTGAGCACCCACAATACGTGACATCATTCCAGCAATAGCACCCACAAAATATAACACATTTCAGCAATATACAATATAATCTTAGTAATTTGGATGGAAATGAAGTTTCTAAATTATATATCAAGTTGATTTTCTGAAATCTGACCAAAAGTGAACTATTTTTGGCTCCTTCTACCTTGTGATTCTTCCATATCTTACAATCTTGCCGACATCAATATTCAACATACAAAGAGAAAAACTGGGTGGGAACATCTCCTGTTTCTCAAAACCTGAACACAAAAATAGTAAACATATCCACTCCACTTTCTAAAATACACTCTCATGCCTATAATTAGTTGCAAGGGATGCTAGAAAACAGTGTCTTCTTGTGTACCCAAGACAAAAAGGAAATATATTTTTCACTATTAGTTTGCAGTATCTGCAAATTGTTACCTTAAAACATCTTACTCTGAAAGCTCAAACATTCAACAAAAAATAATGTTGATTGAATTAAACAGAAATGTCTTACCTGTTCTTCCAAGCTATTGCACTTGACAGTAGAGGAAAAGTATAATTGAAGGAGAGCATGGTTGTCTTCCTTGACTTCAGCCTTAAACTTAGGGGTGAATATACATTTCAAATATCTTGACTTTTTAAAATCTATTAATATTTTCAGCCCATGTTACTTCTAAGGGTAAAAGTTAACTAATTGAATTTAAATTCTATCCAAGTACTATTTGTCTTAAAACCATTTTGCTAATGTGTGGTTTGTATCTCTAATCCTGACATTCCAGAATGGACAAACAAGTCCATGTTAGTTCCTGAGCCACCTTTCCCACACAGAATTTACAGTTTTGTGAGCTCTGATTCCATCAATTTCTTCTCATCATAATGTGGATTCTTCATAATTAGAATTAAGAGTTTGCTTGAATTGTAGCAATCTAGACTGGATGATACTTCCCAGGTATGGTGGCACCATGATTTTCAAAGACATGATACCTTTTTGTGATTTGTATCCAATTTTTCTAGTAATGAAAACACTTAATCAATCAACATTTGTTGAAATTCTTCCCATGTTCACATTGCTTGATAATAGATAAATAATATTTTCTCCCATTTTCCTCATTATTAGTCCACAAATGTTTTTAGAAATATTATTTACTGATTTCTTTAGCGACTTATTTAGAATCATGGTCTCTAGTTCCATCACATAAGCACTTTCCCTTAGACTGCACTTTCTTAACATTTTAAACCATTTCACCATTTCTTCTTCTGGCATTGGAAGCGTCTCTTCTAAAAATATAATAAATCTTGTTAATCTTCTTCAAAAGATTCTTTTGCAAACCAGTTTGCCACTAGGAACACCAGAACATTTTTTCCCCTTTAATCTCACCAGGGATCTGTAAAGCATTCTTTACCTGCCCAAATAAGAAATTCAAATAGAAACTATATAATCACTTGCATGACAAAAGAGAAAATTGTTTTAATAGATGCAAATCACTATTATTTTGTACCTAAGTTTTTGCCTTTTGATTTCTTAGTTTGTTCTTAGTGTAAATTCTAAAATGGTCACATTCCATTAACCAGGTCAATATTTACCTGTCATGACTACTTTTACTAGTAATTATAATCTGGGGTGACTTTTGTTTGATAGTAATGATATCTGCTATTACAAACTGCCTAGCCTTGTTTATAAATACTAACTCTTGTTTTATGTAAAACATGACAGAAGTAAATTTTCTAGTTACCTCTCTCAATCACTGGTTATTAAAAATCTCATATCAGAGACTAGGCTTCATAAAACTATTGCAAGCATGTGTGATAAATCAGCATAGTATCTGGCCTTGTGGACAAACTCAAATCAATTCCTACACAATCTCTTGTGCAAAGTTTAAGCCATTAAAAAAACATCAGGTCTGCTTCCATTTATAGGTGGATTCCAAAATAAATATTTTTTCAACATTTTAAACACTATAATAAATGTATTAATGTGGCAAAACTCCAAACTTTAAAGCCCAATTCTAAATGATTTATTAACGAATACTTATTATTTTGGAAACATGGAAAATGTCTCTCATAAAAGTGCTATCAAAACATATTTTTATAGTGACTTACAAATGTGAAAGGCTGGGTTGTATAGACTGGTGCACTTCAGGATATTTCTCGTAAATAAAGTAGAAAAAACTACAATGCTATTGTCCTTTGATTTTATTTCCTGGGATAAAAAAGTATAGGTATAAATGTTTTTAAATAGTCCTCTTGATTATATCCTTAAAATGATTTATCAAATGGCTTATTTCATGTCTCCTGATTATCAGGATTCATCAATGTCACTGTCAGTCTTGATTAATTGGTTGAAAATTTCAGAGGGTAGTAAGTTACTTTTCTGAACCTTTTCTCCATCCCTGAGAATCATAATCAGTACAGAAATATTTTATACTTTCATTAAAAATCTCTGGAAAGTAGTCGTGTTCGTTCATCAATAACAGGGCAAGGAGCAGTATCATAGAGGGTTAATCCATGTAAATTGGTTTCCACCCGTAAAGAAATTTTCTGGAACAGAACAGAAAAGAAAATTATATAGAGAAGTTTGCTCCTTAAAGAAAGAGTAACTTCCTCTCCAGTAAGTTCTATAAAATTTCTGTGATTAGAGATATAAATCCATCTAATGAGTAACAAGAATGAGAGTGCTATTTTCCTAAAAAAGTTATCAAGTGATCTAGAAAAACAAAGCTTTTCTCATCAGAAAGTTTCCTGTTTTTCTCGAAGAATCAGTGAAACTAAAGGTTGAGGATGGTCTATGTAAATGTATAGAGTGTATGAAAATTCTACAAAAGAATTTCTTCAAGTATGTTTTCATTTCCAGTTTTGAGGCTGAACGTCATTAGCAATACACCACTTCCCCAAACTCAAACAATTACACCAGGGAAGGTATCTTCTGTTTATTATTTATGGTGCCAGATTTTGAACAGTTTCCAGTGAAATGTTCTCTTACTCCACCGAAGGAAGTTTGACTATAAATCCAAGACTGTGTTTTCTTACCTGAAAATCACGAATGTAAGTCAGAAAAAAACCAAAGAAGGAAAATGACATAGACCATTCTGCTGCAGTAGTAACCATATGAAGCACATATCCCTTGAATGACAGGAGAAAAACTTATAGTTTTGTGAAATTTCATTTAATCTACAATATTTCTCAAAACAAAACAAATTCTTATAAACTAGTTTGTCTTCTGAAAATCAACACTGATTTATTTAACATTAATATTAAGAATTAAAGTAGATGACAGAAATTCCTCTTAAATCACATGAGCTATCTTAGTCTCACCTAGAACAAATATAATTTCCACTTAGTAAAACAAAACAGGGGAATTCCTATTCTACAACCAAAAAGTTACTACTTCCCAAAGTCATAAGATTCATAAAATGCTACTAAGAAAAGTTTTTAAATGTTCAACATAAACTTAGTAAGGGCTATTTTTAGAGTATGAAATAATATACAGGTTGCAATTAGGAGACTCTAATAAGTCATTTCATTCATTCCCACAAATATGTCCTATTTAGGGCTGAAACTTATAAAACAGATTAAAATAAAATGCTGCTCAGCAGTTTGTGAAAACAGATAAACTCCTTTTATTTCTTAGTTATAGATCCCTCCTCTCTTTTATTCTCAGGATCAAAGATACTTTCTCCACATAAATATCTACTACATTAGAACCCAAATGTCTGTAATAAATTTCCAGAAAATGTATCAAAATAATGAAATGTGGGAGAAGACACTTTTCAGTTCAGAAAACAAGTATTTTAAAAACAGAAAAATCCCAGTTGGGTATACTGTATCCACACTTAGGGCAATTTCTGAGATAATACATTTGCCATTATAATTCTCTACCTGTCTTAAAAATATCCACATATCACAAGGATCTGCATAAACTATATCATATCTAGAAAAAATCCCAACTCATAATTGATTACTAAAGAAGTCTCATTGGTTAGTGATAAAATGAAAAATACATCAAAATCAACCCGAAGAGTCATCTTTAATATAAAACTAAGTTTTATAAGATCCAAGTTCTTACTTTGTCCTCAGGGTTCCAGTGGAGTTTCTGTACTAAATCAGTGCCAAAATCCCCACTGTATAAAATTGATGAGCAAGTCAGCACTGTTAAAAAATAAGTCAAGGAAGAATCTCAGAGAAGACCTGTAAGTTTAAATTAGATCCAAAACAAAAATCACTTTGAAGGTCCAATAGGATAACTCATACATTTGCTGCCAAAGTCCAAACCAAGTTTCTTAAAGGTTGAATGTCACATGGCAGTAGTAAAACTCAAAATGTGCCCAGATGATCACCACAAATCAGTCCTCATAGTAGATCCCTTCTCTCTTTGCTCAGAAACTATAATTCTATCATAAACTTCTACTAGATGTCATAGGGAGGGCATCCTTCAATTCTTTAAAGTGAGTATGATCAGGCTAAACATTACCTTAATTTTTTGGCTCGGTTACTGAGTTTTATATTTACAGTCCTTTAGTTTGTTTAGGGTTAATAACCTAAGACTCCCTCCCACACACACACAAATTTGCTTACATTGTGCACCAATAGTGTTCACTTAATTTTTGTTATTCAATCCTCTTCCAAGTATAGCCACACTTTACAGTGAAGGATACTGCTAAATGCACTTACTCCACACCAGATAACCAACAGTAGTCTGATCCAGAAGACTTGTTTGCCATGAATTTTGGGCTGCATTTGGTAGGAAAGGATGGTCTGAACAAACATATATAATGAGCCCATACCAAAGGTGAGCACAGCTCCACTTACATGTGCAAAAAAAAGTGTTGTTTTCTGAGGTAGATAAAAAAAATAAGTCAATAAGGGAAACTCAGAACACATTGGCAATCCAATATTCAAAAGCACAAGCCAGATATTTCAATAGGACATTCACTGAGTGGAGAAGCTCTGCAGATTCAACAACATATTATTTCCTAAAACATTTTTCTTTTAATATTTAACATGAACCTGAAGATTACAGTAAAACCAAATTACTTCATATACTACCACTGAAAATATGATAGTAATTACTGATTTGTTCTTTTACTCATTTAATAATATGTTTACATTTAATAATATGGGTACTTAATTAGAAGCCATGTACTACTTAAGTCCTCAGATACATAAGTGAACAAAACAGACACAAATCCAGCACTTACAGAGTTTATATTCTAGTGAGGCTACACAAACAATAAATAATAAATTTTAGAAATAAGGAAACTCCACAGTATGTTACATGGTGATAAGGGTAATAGAAAGAGTAGTTCAAGAAGGATTAATATGGCTGGGAATGCTGGGGATGAGGTGGTTTGATTTAAATTCAGCTTAAATTTAAATGTATTTTAAGGGCTCAAATTAAAATACTCTCCTTTGGCCTTATACACCAGGGAATACTATAAGTTATAATTTTTTCTCCTTCCGATAGTTATCTGCTTATATTTTACTTTAAAAAAATTTTTAAGTTATATATGGACACAATATCTTTATTTGTTTATTTTTTATATAGGGCTAAGGATCAAACCCAGTGTCTCATACTTGCAAGGCAAGTGCTCTACCACTGAGCTACAGCCCCAGCCCCTTATATTTTACTTTTTAACATTATATGTACACTCTGCTTTAAAAAGACAACAGAGCTCTCTAAAATTCTGCAATCAAAAGGTTTTCAGTTGAATCGCTGTTTTTCTAAACTGGTGTCATCTATATTTCCTTTGTTTGAAAAGATCCAATACAGTACTTGACACAGAAGATATGTAATGACTAAGACAACAAAAGAAAAGGGATTAGAGCTTGATTCTCTTCTTTTATAATCAACTGTACTAATACACAGAGTTCAATTTTCTTAGATGAAGGTAAGAGAAGATTCCTAGTATAAAGAAATAAGAGATTGTAATTTATTTGCTAGGGGCATTGGCTTCCTTTTGAGAGAGAGAGAGAGAGAGAGAGAGAGAGAGAGAGAGGGCTGTTTTTATGTGGTTTAGGGTGTTACACATTGACGAAGTATAGATATAGCCTGATCAATGTCAGAACATAACTCCTTAACAAAAATCCCATGAATTAAAAAGTAAAGAATGGAGAGTATTTAACTTTTTAAAAAACTAAAATGGATGTACATAAAACTGGTTTTCATGGTAATTTTTCTGCTTAATAATATCATTTTAGAGACTAAGTAAATATAAGGTAAGATCTTCTGTAATGACAGAAGTTGATAAACAAGAGCAGACATTAACTCAGAGAAAATTACAATAATCAAATAATCCTTAACCATACAAATAAAAATTATGTTCTACTGAATACAATTGATTACCACTGGGTAAATTATGACCAATTTTGCATCCATTTGTAAATTCATTCCCATATTCTCTAACTACAAATGTATGTTACTTGGACTGTTCTTTTGAACTAGTTTATAATATCTATTGTTTGCTTCAATAATTAATAAGTTCAATAAAATCTTTGATACCTGTACAAAAGGTATGATTTTATCCCTTTGAAAATATATCCCTTAACAACTCAAAAATTTATCCTTTAATGAAATAAACACAAACAAGAAATTATAGAGCTAAGTATGCAAATCTTAAGACATAAAACTTATATATTTTAAATAAATATAGTGTTAAACTCTCTTTCAAGTGAAAATACAGACCAAGTTCAAATATAATTTTTGCTGTGTAAGTCAAATAGAGTTTATAACTGCAAAAGAAAAGGGGAAGGAGGAGGCAATACAGTCACCACTTTACATAAGTAGGAAAAGTTTATATTACAGAGGAAGGTGAGCTACTAGATATCTAGGTAATGCTGCAGGGTCAGCTAATGAACCGGGCAAGCAAGGAAGCCAACAGTGAAAGATGAAGAGGACATTCAACAGGTCCAAAGTTGCATGAAGAGATGCAATCAAGAGAGAAAGAGTAATCTTATATAAAATTAAAAGGCCAAGAGGAATCCAAAACAAAACAAAAAAGCAAGCATATAAACTGTCTTAGTAGGTGAATGAGATCAAGGTAGAAAAGCAGCTCATGTGAGTTCTATCAGGGAATACTATTAGAATTTACTGGGTTAGGTAAATATTTAAGATTCATTTTTACCCTATGGATGATATGAGATCTTGTTAAATTATTAAAGGACAACTACATCAATGAATTACTAGCCATGCCCTAAAAGTTCCCCCCAAATTTGTGTATGGAACTGAGAAATGAACCCAGGGCTTCATTCATGCTAGGCAAGCACTCTACCACTGAGCTATATCCCAGCCCCTTTTTAAAATTTTATTTTGAGACAGAGTGTCACTAAGTTGACCAAGCTGGTCTCGTACTTGCCATCCTCCTACCTCAGTCTCCTAAGCTGCTGGGATTATAGGTTTGTGCCACTGTGCCCAATTCCCAAAGTAATGTTTAACACAGATCTATAAAAACTGATGAAAAAAGGCAGGACTCTATTTATGTCATAGACAGCTACTTAACTGTCCACCAAAAATTTTATTCCCCTTCTATAGATAGTACAGAGTTGTTCAGGACATTAATGCCCAGCAAAACTACATTTTCTAGTTACCCGCTGATCCCCAACCTCCACTTCTAGCAAATGGAAATCTGTAGAATGATGTGAGTCACCACAAGGTAGCAGGGAATCTTGCCCTGACCAAACAATACTCTGAACTTTCTTCTTAACTAGGCCTGACATGTGGGATTCCATGTTGATCTCTGCAATCCAATTTTAGCAAGAGTCTGTCTAAGTCAATTTAACTAGGATCCCCCATCTTAAACATCTGCTCATCCTGATTGGGTTCCTCAAACTCCACCATCCCCCAGGTGATATCTAATCACCCTGGTCCGCTTTCAGCAAGAATCCTATTAGGTGAGTTTAGTCAGAATACCTCCTTATCCCTGATATTTCTTCTCAGTAATTTTCCATCCACTGACCACCATGCTGCTTCTTGACTATAAATTCCCATTTTTCTTTGCATTTAGAGGTGAGCCCAGTTTCTTCCTGCTACTGCAAAATCTCACAGCAGTTGTCCCTTCACCAATCAAGATGGCCCTAAAGAAAGTCTGCCTTATCCATTCTTTTTAATAAGTTTTCTGAATAAATTTTTTAACATAAGCTACAATTTTTAAGAAGTAGGTGTGACTTTTGCCATCTCCTAATTTACTATTTCAGCCAAATAGCTGCAGTAAACAGAGGCCCTAGGGCATGACAAAGCCCAAAGATGGACATAGGTTAGGCTTTAAATTATTCTGGGAGAAAAGCCACGAGTTAATGGGAAAAAAAGAAAAAAAAAAAAACCTGTATTGGATTCATGTGTAAGACCTCTACCCTCTACTGTGATAAGCCACTGAAAATTCAGGCTTTGTTACAGCAGCTAGCATTACCTTAATGTCCACATAGACTACGATTATAGAGCTTACTGCATGTTGAGCATCCTTAATCTAAAAACTGGAAATATGAAATGCTGCAAAAATCCAAATCTTTTAAAGACTGCAGGGAGATTACTCAAAATCTAACACATACCAAGCGTGGAGCCATTATTACTATTGACTCCTCTGAAGAGCATCAACAGACAGGAATGAGGAGAGTTTACAAATACAGTCATACACCACATAAATGTTTCCATCAATAAGGACCACATATTATGGTTGCCCTATAAGATTAGATTACATACTGGCATCTTAGTTTGTGTAAGTACAATCTATGATGTTTGCACAACAGCAAAACTGACTATCAATATATTTCTCAGAAAGCACACTACTGTCAAGTTTCAAATGAGTGTATTTGGTGAGGCTGATTGCTACTATTAGGAATAGTAATATTAGGAATATTAGGAATTAATATTACTAATACTAGTAACTAATATTGCTAATACTATTATTTATTAATAATGATAGTAATATTAGAAATTTCCCCCCAAAAAGCTAGAAAAGCTATAGATCCTTCCTTACTTCCTAATGGGCTAGGCACCTAGGAATGGGAAGGCAACCAACTGAAACATCCAACAAGTACATAAAGTAGGAAAATGATTGTGACTTATCATATGAACAACAAAACAACTGGTGTTTAAGTCTCTGATTGTATCACTTATATCAATTCTGTTTGGTCTTGAAACAATATCCAATTAAGTAGTAATAAAGAGGCTAACTTCCTGTGGATCCTTTAAAAAGTTAGAATAAAGTATATTTTTTTAATTACTGCATTTGAATTTTTTATTGTGAAAGTAGCTATTTCTAACAGGGTCAACAACATAAGGCAGTAGATTCCATTTTATTAAGGCAAAGAAATAAAAACAGCATGTAACTGAATGTTTCAAGCTTCCTTTTTAAACATCTATAATTAGGTACTTCAAAAAAATACCTATGCTGGGCTAAAACACAAACCTGGAAATTTGCCACAAGAGAAAGTCCTAAACAACTCAGTATTCCAAGTACAAGGCCAGCCTTGTTTAATTTGATGATAAGGTTCTCTTCAGGACTCAGGGCATGAACTTGCTTATAACGAACATAAATGGTGGCAATGCCTGGGAAGAGAGAATCCGAAAAACAACAAAGTAATAAATAACCAGGGAATAAAGTTGCCAAATAAGAGTTCACAAAGGTCACTGCTATCCAGAAGCACAGATTTTTTCCTTTGAAAGTTAATCTGAGAGAAGAACAAAAAAAAAAAAAGCTGTAGATTTTAAGAACTTTTAAGGTTGCATCATAGAACTACTGGTTTCTCTGTGTGTCTGAGCAAGTTGTTTGCCTTCCATTAGTCTCATGTCTATAAATATTTAGTATAAAACTTAAGAGATGTGTGATGTCTAAGAGCTCTATAAAACACAAAATATCTTCATGATTAGCATCAAAGGCAAATGTAACTTGCTCTAGAATTTGAATGAAATAAGCACAGGAAAAAATATCCAAAAGTTTATATGCTTCATTCTCATATCATTTTATTTCAAATTACTACAATTTAGCTCAATCAGATATAACATTCAGATTATACAGGAAAAAAGCCCACTTTCCATACTTACTTGTCAAGAAAGGGCCAAGTCAAACTTTCCACTGCCAAAGTATTGCCAAAAAACATAACAAAGATATGCTTTTACAGACATACTTCTGAAGAGTTCAGCTATAAAATGAATTTCTATAAATTGAATAATTTTCCTTGTTTTTGACATAAGCAAACAATAAATATCACATAAATGAATTCAAATATTTAAAACAATCATAGCTAAAGAAAGTATATTTCAGTAAATCAATAAAGTTTTGGTTCATAAAACATTTCCTCTATTATAACAATAAAATAATTAACACGATCGTGTTTAAAGAAGAAAATAGTAATTAGTATTAATTTTGCTTGATAAAAATCTCTCTCATTACTTACATAAAACTGCAGCAATATTTAACATTGCCCCAAACAAGCATTTTTCTGGAGCTACAGTACCAGTGTCACTGAAAGAAAAAAAAAAATGTGAATTTATCACATTTCATGTTTTAGTCAGCTTTCATTGCTGCAACAAAATACCTGAGATAAACAACTGAAAGAAGGAACAATTTATTTCAACTCACAATTTCAGAGGTTTAAGTCCAGTTACTTGATTCCATTGTTTCTGGGCCTGTGGAGAGGCAGTACTTCATGGTGAGGAAACTGCTCACCTTGAAGAGGTCAGAAAGAGGAGGGGGAAGAGAGAAAGGGGCCAGGGACAAGATATAGTCCCCAAGGGCATGCCCACAGAGAAGGACCTACATCCTTCAACCAGGCCCTACCTCCTACAATTTCCATCACCTCCAAATAGTCCATTCAGCCATGAGTCCATCAAGGGACTAATCCACTGATCATGTCAGAGCCCTCATGATCTAATTTCTTCCCAAAAGTCCCACCACTGAACACTGCTGTATAGACGATCAAGCTTTCAACACATGAGACTTTGGGTGACATTCTAGATCCAAACCATAACACTAGATATATGTGTGTATTTCTTCTACGGAATAAGTAGTAACAGGAGTTACTTCAAACCCTTTATCTTTTAAAAACCCATGAGCTCAACTTATATCACTTTATAGAGAGAACATGATAATTTGTACTTCAAATATTTGCCTGCTTCACTTTTTTTTTTTAACAACATTTAAGATTATTTACCTTCTACATAATAGAAATTAATATAAATTGATTTTTAAAGAAGAAAAAGCTACCCTTATTATTTTAAGACTTTGTTGCTGACTTACCATGAACCAAGCACATACATCTATCTGTCTATTCAGAATACTCCCTGAATACCATAGGCCCTTTCACAACTCGCCTTTTTGCACCTGTTGTTGACTTTGCCTATAATCCAATTAATACTTGCTCAATTAAAAAAGTATCAAGCTGGGCATGGTGGCACACTCCTGTAATCCCAGCAACGCCAGCCTTAGCAACTTAGAGAGGCCCTTAGTGAGACCCTGTCTCCAAATAAAACATATAAAAGGATATGGCTCAGTAGTAGAGCACCTCTGAGTTCAATTCCGAGTACCAAGAAAAAAAATTTTTTAATCAAGTACTTACCATTAGCCAGACATCATTTCTGAGACAGGAATATGGAGGGAAGTGAAACAAAAGGCCCTGTCCTTATGAAGCTAACATTCAAGAGCAATTTTGAGGCCTCTCCTCTCTACAGCCTTGAACTACTCACTCCTCTAGGAGAGTAACACAACATTTTATCCAGATTTCTATCAAAATGACTTGCCATTCCACATTGCAACATATCTGTTTACATGCTTGTCCTTCAGGGTACTGTGCAATACATAGACCCAAATAGAAAACACACTATTTACTAACTGTAGTATCTTGGGCACCTACCACTTTAACCAAGTGGGAAAAAAAGAGAAGTGAACTTGCAGCAATATTTGCCTTTAAGGGCAATTTACATTCAGTTCTGTCCTTTGGGGCTGTAACAACTAAACCTTTTGGATAGGACTTACAGACTACAATGAACTTTGCAGAACATCTATCTTAAGTATTTTGTAAATGAAAGAAATGAGCCTAGGAGAAGTAAAATCAGTGCTAGAGTTTAAATACCTTAAAATATTGGAGAAAGATTCCAGAGTAACACCAAGTTCATTAGCAGAAAAAATTTTAAAAGCAGGAGAGAAAAGGAAGTTTCTAGGGCAGTAGTAGAAGATCACATGGAGTACCATCAGAGAACTGAAACTCTCAAAAAGAACTCAGTGGCCTCCGAAATTATTTAAACTTCCTTTAAAGTGAAAGAAGACAAGTTCTCAGAAGGGAAAATAAAAATACTGAAAGGCCCTCATGAATCTTAAATATATGCCTTCTCTAGGAACTACTAAAGAATGGTCTAGTTCCTTAGGCTGGGTGTATCTCTAGCACAGTGGTAGTTATCAATCAAATTATTCCTAGAATTTAGAACCTTAAATTATAAAAAAAAAAAAAAGTGTTGGTTTTGTAAGTATTCTCAAAGTGTACCAAATTTGCTTTTATCATTTGTTTGATACCCCACCACTATAAAAAAAAAAACAAACATACAAGGTAATGCCCAGATCTTTCCTTGACATTTTAAAAAGCCAAAATGAATATTCTGTTTATCAACCTTTAAAATTTTGCTTTTTCTGTATTGGAAAGGTTATTTTTCAGAAAAAAAAGATGAATAAATTAAATAACTATAACAAACATAAAGTGAAAAATGCTACTTAATTCCAACAACAAAAGCAATGCATTCAGTATCTCTATGAAGAATGATGTTTCCAAAGCATCATAAAGAAGTTGAATAGTTATGGACCTAACTATATTCCAAGTAGAATCATTTAGATTAAAACACTGGTAGATGTTCGTATTTAAAAATGATATTTTAATAATGTTCTCATCATCTTCCCTCCCTATTTAATGTTTAACTTTTACATAAAAGTTTGAATCTTACTAACTCATAAACCATTCATAAAGATTATTATTTTTCTCATATCCTATTTTTTTTAAATATACTTATTAGATATTGATGGACCTTTATTTATTTATTTGTTTATATGTGGTGCTGAGACTCAAACCCAATGCCTCACACATGCTAGTCAGGCACTCTACACTGAGCCACAACCCCAGCCCTCTCATTTCCTCTTTATGAATGCACAATTGATGAAATGCTATTATAGGGGAATTTGCCATGTCAAACTAAAAATGTTGGTATGCTATTAACTATCAGCAATCCCTCTTCTAGGAATCTACCTAAATATAAATAGTAGCATACATATATAAAGTTACATGTTATATAACTGTCATTATAGTGTTATTTCTAACAATCAAAAAATCATTAACCTATATAATTAACCTTTTAACAAATGAAACAAAACTAAGACCCCCCCAAAAAAAATATGTTAAAAGTGAGAAGAAATAAAAGAGAAAGAGTTTTGTATAAATATAGATGACAAAACAAATCAAACTTAGGAAGGAAATCTATCAAACCATCAGTCACCCCTGGGGGCAAGAATTAACTAGAAGAGTCAAGAAGGGACTTCTCTTTTTGTAATTAAAAAAAAAAATTGTTATAAACATAGCACATGTAACTAAATACCTACACCCACAATACTCACATCATTAGTAGTTTTGAAATTTCAAAAAAATTATCCAAAATTGTTGAAACTTAATGTGTCAGAATTATCTAGGAAGCAAGTCATAAAGAATAAATAACACAGCCCGCAGAGTCAAACTACCCAGGTTGTATATTCATTCCAACACTTACCAAATTGAGTGCCCTTGAGCAAATCACCTAAGCTTCCTGGACCTCTTTTCTTTTGCTATAGCTAGATCTTCAAGGTCTCCCCAAAGTTCATGTCAAAGCCTTGATCCCCAGAAAGGTGCTGTTAGAAGTGATATAACCTTAAGAGGTGGGGCCAAGCAGGAGGTCTTCAGGTTATTGGGGATATGGCCTTGAAATGGATTAAGGAACCCTGGTTCTTTCCTTTCTCTTTTACTTCTGAGCCATGAGGTGAGTGGTTTTGCTTTCCCACTCACTACCACCATGATGTGGTCCCTTGTCATAGGCCCAAAGTAACAGGGCCAATCAATCATGGACTGAAACCTCTAAAAAATATGCAGCAAAAAACTATTCTCTTTATAAGTTGATTTTCTCAGTACTTATTACAGTAACAAAAGGTGACTTAACATACCTTCTTCTCTAAAATGAGGATAACCTTTCCTTCCTACCTCATATGCATGTTGTAAAGATTCAATTACCTAAGACATGAAGAATGCTTAAAATGTTACCTTGAATACAGTAAACAAATGAATACATTTTTGTTATCATTACCACCTTTTCCTATTATTACTATCATTTGTTTGCAGCATTTTTGAATGTTAAGGGGAGAAGAACTCCACTGAGGTTCTGAGACAACTTCAAATGCTTACTGGTAAGATAAGGCATGAAGGGGTCGCGATTCATTAACGAATTTACCAACTGAATTTTATCCCATTCGCTCCACATTTCTGTATCACATAGAAAAAGCCAAATACAAGTCCCATTTTACATTTCCTTTGTTGTTGTAATACATAAAAATAAGAACTTTTAAATGTTGACATAAAATGTCAGTGTCAATGTACAATATGAAAAAGACATAAAGATATGTCTCCTATACAGGCTTAGCATGGTGGTGCATCTCTATGGATTATGCTGGGATTCAGCTACTTAGGAGCCTAAAGCAAGAGGATCACAAGTTCAAGGCCAGCCTGGGCAACCTAGGAAGACCCTGTCTCCAAAAACAAACAAACAAACAAACAAAAAAAAAAACAGACTGACCTGATGTAAGGCAAAGCAGGGTCGACATGGTGGAGTGTTACCGCAGTAATGTATGAAAATATGAAAGCAGCAGATGTCCAAATTACAAGTGCTGAGGGAAGAAAACTGAGGCCTTGCTGAAACCACCACATTTCAAACAGATCTTCTGAAGTGGAAAAACAAATTTAAAAAGATAAGTCATAAGTTTCCTTCAGTCTACTTTTAGCCATCTATTCCTACCACCTTGCACTTATTACCCTGAGCTGTTCCCCTCCAAAAACGTCCCCCACACCATTCCAATACCTGCTCTTCTTTGCTTTTCCAGTAAATGGAACCAAGATTCACCCACTTGCCATTGCCAGAAACTTACGTTTTTGTCCCATTTTCCCACATATAACCAAGTACTGCTTATTCCCCTAAATTTCTTCTCTCCATCTTTATAGCCATTACTCAACCTAAACCATTATCATATTTAGCCAGATGATTATCATTAACTTTCTGAAGGGTCCTTATGACATTTTTAAGTATCTATAGTCATCCTTCTGTATCCTTAGGGGGACTGGTTTAAGGACACCTCAGAAAAATCTGCAGATGCTCAAATCCCTTATATAAAATGGCATAGTATCTGTATATAACTTATGCACATTCCCCATATACTTTAAATAATTTCTAGATTACTTATAATACCTAACACAATGTAAAATAGTTGTTATACTATATTATTTAGGGAATAATGACAAGAAAAAAGTTTGCTGATGTTCAAACTTCATCTGTTTCTTGGCAAAACGTTCTAAAATCTTTGGAATTTATCTTTTATGTGCTAATGAGATAACTGGGGTTTGGCACCTCTAGGTAGCTTCAGGATGGGTGCTGATCACAGGAAAGATCACAGTGTGCTTAAAGTGCTGGGATTTGCTGGGTGCAGTAAGCGCATGGGTAACCTGGGTAACCATCCTTCAATGGTGACCCCAAGCTCTAACAAATTATCTTTTCTTCTTAATGTGGTCTATAAGGTCCTTGCATCAAAAGGCTGAGACAGGAGGATGGCAAATTCAAGTCCAGCCTCAGCTACTCAGTGAGGCCTTAAGTAACTTACTGAGGTCCTCTCTCAAAAAAAAAAAAAAAAACCCCGAAAGAAACAAAGAAAGAAGGAAGAAAGTAAGAATAAAAGAAGGGCTGGAGATTGTAGCTTAGTGGTAAATTGTCCCTGGGTTAAAATCCCCAGTAACCACCCTTCCCAAAAAGAGTCAGGATTTTCAGCTCCACCCCACCCCACCTCCCAGGAGGAGAGAGGGGCTGAAGGTTAAGCTGATAACCAATGGCCAACATTTTAATCAATTATGCATATATAATGAAACTTCCATGAAAACAAAAGAACTGGGTTTGGAGAGCTTCTAGATGGATGAACATGTAGATGGAGGTTCCTGGAGGGTAGTGAGCTCAGGGAGGTCATATAGCTCCTTGGCACTCCCCACATGCCTTACCATATGTATACCTTTAGCTACGTACTTTGTAGTATCTTTTAACATAAACTGAGTCACTCTAGAAAATTATTTGAACCCAAAGAGGGGATTCTGGAAATCCCCATTTATAAGCTGGTCAGTGAGAAGCACAAATAAAACAACTTGGGTCTTAAGATTGGCACTGGAAATAGGGGCAGTCTTATGGGACTGAGCCCTCAACCTGTAGAACCTGATACTATCTTCAGGTGGATATTGTCAGAATTAATTGAGTCAGAAGGCATTCAGATAGTTTCTTTGCAGAATTGATTGGCTGTTATGGGAAGAAATTCCCTCATACTTCTTGGTGACCAGAGAAGTATTCTGTGTTTTCTACATTACTCAGTCCTCCTCTCGTCTTCAGCACAATCAATCTAGCTGCCACCTTAAACCAGAATAATCCCCCTAATTCTAAAATAGCAATCTGACCATCTTACTCTCCTACAACGAATCCTTCAATGGTTACCCCAAGCTCTAACAAATTATCTTTTCTTCTTAATGTGGTCCATACAGTCCTTGCATCATTTCACCTCTACTTACTTTTTAAGGTCCTTGCATCATCTGATCTCTATTTACTTTCTATATTCACCTCTAGCTACTCTTTGTTCATAATTTCTGGCTCATCTTTATTATTCCCTATAGAAGCTCTTGGTGTTTACTATGTGTTAGTAATGTTACTAAGCACCTCAAGTACATATCTTATTTAATCCTCTCAATAAAATTAGAGCGGTTAAGAGAACTACCTGGACCTATAGGGTGGGAATATAAGAGATAGGACTCAAACTCTCATAGCTTCTTATCGATCTTCTAATTTGCCAATGCCAGGCACATTATGCATATTCCAGGCCTTCATGCATATTGTTGTGTATATGACTCAACCACAATGTAACTGCCTCTGCCAAATTATCTATCCAGTTAATGTCACAAATTTTTCAGGTCCCAATCCTTCTGGCTCCAGCTGAATGTGTCTGCTATTCCCAATAGCACCCAGTCCTTCCCCAATCAGGACACCCATCACACTTAACGGTCACTTGTTTGTTTTAACTTCCACACTAAACTTTAAGTTTTATGAGGGCAGGAAACTGTTGTTTCCTTTTTTTTTTTTTTTTTCACCATTATATTTCCAATTTCTCCACAAAGGAGGAAAAAAGTACCTAAACACATCTATAGCACACATCACTCTCTCCATTAAATTCTAGACTGAGGATGTTATGTAAAAATGAGTTAATAACATGAATTAGAAAACATAACAACTTCATATATTTAATTTATTTAAATTTTAAATACATAGAAATACTTTTAAATTATAAGAAATTGCTCCTATGTATGTAAGAATTATCTGGAAGACCTAAAAAAGTTTTGTTGTATTTCCCATGAACTTTGTATATATTCTTCCACCCCATTCTGCATAATCCTCCACTGTGCTCAGCTTCCTCATTTCAGCCTGACTTCCCAAATAATGAAATCTCAGTCATTTTGACTTGCACATGTCATTGACTCTGATCATCTGACTTGCTACCAAATAGGAACATTTACAACTTGCTAAGTAAGTTTCTTTATGGCTAAAATCATCATTGTAAGCTTGATTTGAGTAAACTGCTACCTAAATTATCATAATCTCTTCTGTTTTGTTCCTTTTTCTTGTCTGTCCCAAGCTATTCCATCACTTCTTTCCTTCATCAATTTAATCATAGCAAATCTTTGCCAAAAACCCATAGGTGCTTTCTCCAGCATAGGTTTCTGGGACACTAATTCTCAATTTCTGCAAAATTTGAGTCACTGCTAACATCTGTTATATAAATGCTAAAATAGCATCTAAATAAAATAGTTTCTGTTTCTGATAATTCCCATCTAAAGTCCTTAGAAATTTAGGGACTACCATGTGAATGGTGCCTGCTTGAGTTATGCACTTGGGAAGTCACAGGGATAACTACCTTGGTAGGAAGCAGAGGGAGCCTATCATTTGCCCCCAGTTGTGCTTTATCTACTATCTATCAAATGCACCCAATGGAGTCATGCTGCTAGTATGCCATTTCAACTTCAGCTCTCAGTTTGACAACTAAAGATAATGTGATTTATTCAGCACTTAGATATTTTGGTAAAAGGAATTTTCCAAAAATTTAGTCTACCACACTGGTAGAAATAAAACTTCCTCCATGCTTTATTGTTTTTACATGTCTATATCTTTTCTTCAAAACAGAGCTCAAATACTGTCTTCCATATACAACCTTCCCTAATCCCTTTGTATTTGGACACAAGCACCCTCTTCTGAGAGCACTTGATTTGCACATCTCCTACAACTCTTTTTCTATAGTATGAACATTTTAGGAGGGTGCCTCAAGTGAATAAAATCCTTGAAGAGGGACTTTACTAATCCACCTAAGCATGGCAGAAGGCTTTGCCCACAGTAATCACTCAATATTTGTTGAATAAACAAATACCCCAAACCAAATCATCTTAATTCTAAAAAGTGTTCATGGATTTTATACTTTAATAAGCAACATTACCATTTTTTCCAGGTTATCCAGATTTTGGGATTTCTGAGTAACCTTTCTCCAAAGCCCTCATATACTGTCCTTTAGTGATAGCAATTCTATCTCCATAAATCATTTACAAAAATCCTTCTTCATTGTGCACACTGTACCCACTTGATTCATATTCTCAATTCTTTTGACCTAATTACTTTTCTTCCCTTCCATCCATTCTATTTGTATTGCCAGATTTACATTCCTAAAGCCAGGCAATGTGGCATGCCTATAATCCCAGCAGCTCAGGAGGCTGAGGCAGGAGGATTTTTAGTTCAAAGCTAGCCTTGGCAACTTAGGGAGACCCTGTCTCAAAAAAAAATTATTTAAAAGAAATAATAATAAAGGGCTGGGGACGTGGCAATCCCCTGTGCCATTTTTTTTTTAAGAGAGAGAGAGAGAGAGAGAATTTTTTAATATTCATTGTTCAGTTTTCGGTGGACACAATATCTTTATTCTATTTTATGTGGTGCTGAGGATTGAATCCAGCGCCCCGCGCATGCCAGGCAAGCGTGTTACCGCTTGAGCCACATCCCCAGGCCAGCCATTTTTTTTAAATTGTAAAGTATTCTACTGCTCAAAAAATTTTTTTAACAAAATTGTGTGAATTTGGGCAATCTTTATAACTTCTCTGAGTCAATTTCTCCTTTGAAAAATGGGAATATTATCGGCACAAACTATACTGTCCACATAGTAGCCAATAGTATGTATAGCTAATTAAAAGTTCAACTTATTAAAATTAAAATTTCAATTCCTCTATTACCCTAGCTACATCTCAGATACTCAAAGCTACATGTGTGTAGTGGGTTGCCAACAGGACAGCAAAAATACTGAACCTTTCCTTAACATGGAAAAATCCCACTGGGCTGTGCTGGATACTTATTAGCATGAGGAAAGAACCTAACACACTGACAATGCACAATAAATAGTATCTTTAGCCAGGTGTGGTGGCATATGCCTATAATCCCAGTGACTCAGGAAGCTGAGACAGGAGGATCCCAAGTTCAAGGTCGGCCTAAAACTTGGCAAGACCCTGTCTCAAAATAAAAAAATAAAAAGGATTAGAGATGTATCTCAGTGGTAAAGTACCCCTGGGTTCAATCCCCAGTGCCAAAAAATAAATAAATAGTAGCTTTTAGTATTATTTGTTAAATAGCCTCAATAAATAGTTGTTTCATTGAGATTTAATCAAGAACTACATGAAATAATATATAAGTAGTCAATAAATATTTGTTCCTTTTTTAGATCTGAAAGATAAATTACCTGTTTTATAAGTTCACAAAATTGTAGTCTTCAGAACTGCCCAAACTTGCACCTTTTGTAAATCCTGAATTCTATATCAAAAGAAAATATGAAATTACTGTTTTGATCTACATAATTTAAAACAGTACAATTTTAGGCCAACACACCCATAACTGTTTGTGGAAAAACATTAGTCTATAATATTAATAGGTCATTTTTCTCTAAAGAGTTGATACTTAAATTTTTAAAAATAATGGTGGTGAAATATATGAAATTAAATAATGTTTTGAATCCAGGATATCAACTTTTGTAACCCTTGTTATACCAGACATCTTTTCTCTGGCCTCAAAAAGGATAAATGAAAAACATAAAGGATTCCTCCTAGAGAAAGAAAGATAAAGATTCAGGAAGAATGATACTTTATTATTAAGCAAAATAAAACATTAACTAGTCCCTGAAATGCAATCTAAAAACACAGTTGTTAGATCAGATTTATCTGAGTGTAAATCCTATCATTACCACTTTCCAGCAATATGACTTCAGGCAAGTTACTTAACTTCTGAGTTACAGTATTCTTATTTGTAAAACAGCCAAACCCTCAAAGCATTATTTCTTACAGTAGAACAGAGCAAGCATAAGAGTACGGTTCATTTGTTAATTCAGTAGAATCTTGTACATGAATAAATGAATATTCTTGTATTCCTACCTCCTTAGGTCATGAAGGCTCTTGTGGTCTAAACTAATAATTTAGACGACAGGCAAGAGATTGAAATGGTTTACCACTCTGCCAATGAAAAGTGAAAATTTTAAGCACACAGACTAAGTGCGAAAGTGTACTAATTGTTTCTGTATTTTCACCTTAGAAAGCTGAAAGCATGACAGAGTAATTCCCAGCTAAGCAAAATTAGAATTTTAATGGTTAATGATTCAAGAAACCTTTAAAAAAATACTTGAAAATATGCAGTAATAATTTTACCTAGCAGTGGTTAGCAGAATGTTCTTGAATCTCTCACCTATCTTTTCTGCTTTCTATGAACCTCCACTTAACAGAACTCCAGTTAGAATATTTGTCAAATATTTAAGTCACTGGTAATAAGATGAAAATTTTATGCAGTCTCCTCTAAATAGTGACAGAAATTCTGAGCTTCTTTCAGAGCTACACAGAACCAGTAAGCCAAAAGCAAAGCATAACAGAAAATGGTTATTCTAAACTCTAACGTGTCCCCCTGACAAATGTAATATTTTTCCAATGGTTAAATCCTAAAAGAGTCTAGCAGATGAAATAACATCTTTTTAAATTACATGGAAAAAATGAGAATCTGATACTCAAACACAAAGAGTTGCATCGGGGTACTGATTTACAATTTTAAAATATGGAAGAACTGAAAAAAAACTATTCTTTTAGGCTGTGGTTTTTATTTTTCAAATGCATCCTACTGTAAATCAGAAGTGAAACGAGGACACACAGGACAAGCAACTTCCTTTCTGTATTGAGACCACTCCCTGCAATACAATTGTGAATAGTAGATGGAGCTTCACGTAAACAGAAGGTCACCAAGGACTTCAATTCCAAACTTCCCTCCTGGCCCTCACCACCAAGGTATCTGAGCCCAGAAGTGACCACAGGAACACTTACTCAAATCTAGTTTTTGAGGGACTGGAGGGAAGGTTATCCGTAGCCGCCTAAAACCGCAGAAAATACTTGGACCACTGCCTTTTTCCTCAAGAGTGCAGCATTCCGCGCTGCCTGGGGTCAGGGAAAGAAGCGGAAGACAGAGCTTAGCACTTAGCACCACTCGGGGTACGCAGGGAGTCAGGGGTGGGGGCAAGTGGGGTGTGGAGACCCGCGCCCAGCTTGCACTCGCCAGCTTCCCTCTGGTCCCCCGGAGCTGGCCTAGGACTCCCGTCACCACCAGCCCCTCTCCGGCGCCTGGCACAGTTTAGCCCCAGGAGGGAGAGGGTGCTAGCTGGGGTACGCGCACCCTGCCACCGGGGGTGATGGGTGAACTGCGACCCCACCCCCTGACACACCCTCTAGAGTGAGCGGCGGGACTCCAGGCGCTTGGATCAGTCCTCCTGCCCCACCGACCCCACCTTCGGCCTATCTTACCTGGCTGGCCCAGCCAGCGCCGCCCGCAGGCTCCGAACCCTGCCAGCCACACGGAGACAGGGCGGGGCCCCGAGGCGCGCTCCCGAGGAGCCAGGCCAGCTCCGGGCGCGCCGCCGCTCCTCCCGACCCTTTCTACCTTTACGGCAATCGCGAAAGTGTCGTGAAAGTGCTGCCGCCGATCACTCATCCAGTCGGCAGGAGTCGAAGTTGTTATTTCTAGGGGTGTGCTTGTTGAGGTCGGGGTAAGACTGCGGGGATCGGTCTTGGGGAAGCGGCTGGGAAGTGGAGGACGTGGTGGGAGGCGTTTCTCCCAGGCAGAGTGAAGAGAGGACTGGATGCTTAGGGGTGGGCATTACGATATAATGCGGATGGACTCGCTGAGGCAGACGCCGTCCTTCTTCCTCTAACCGGGTGGCCTCGCGCGCGGGGTTGTGGGGAGGACGAGGGGCGACTCCTGGCCCCTTCGGGGACTCTGGAGGCTGAGGTGGCGGAGTCCGGGGGTGGAAGCCCCGGAGCTGTGTGGAAGCCGAGGGTTGTGGGAGCGAGAAGCGCCTGCCTGGCCAGCGCTGGGCAGGTCGAGGGCTGGGGCGCTGCCCGCGCGGAACCGACCTTGCCTGTCAGGTCCACACCCTCCTGCCCCGGTGCTGCCGTGTCCACGAACCGTGTGGCGTCCTGCGCCGGGCTTGCCTTCCTTTTGGAATGCGGTGGTGGTGTTTCATGGCTGGGCCTCGCTTCTTGGTCAGCAACTTTTCTAGAAATTTCAACCCGTATTGACGAGCTCTCTGAGATTGCCAGCTGGGGTTTAATTTCAGCAATATTCTTGGAAGGAGAATGGACTGAAGGATCGCTGGTGTTGGCCAGTGTGCCCAGGAATGCTGAGATGAATGAGATCTTTACATTTATCCTTGTTTGTGTTCTAGAATTCCGTGCGTGGCATTTTTGTGTCGTGTGTCCTGTGTGTGTGTGTGTGTGTGTGTGTGTGTGTGTGTGTGTGTGATTTTGCATCATTGGTGTTGAATGTGTGATTTTGCTTGAAATCTTTTAGTTAAGCGAATCTCTACTACAGTAGACGGATGTATAGATGCTTTTGAACAAATATTAATGTTTTATCTGAACGTAGTCAGAATATTTAGTTCCTGCTGTCGAACTTGTAGAAATGTGTTCGAATACTTTTGTACTTGACTGGCTCAAAAAACAACATAGATTGGGATGAGGGTGTTTATAATATTACCAATTTAGAACAATTGGCTTTTGCATAAAATTCCAGGGATTGAAGTTCTGAAAGGATTTTGCTGCGTATTTGTACTGTGCTGAGAAAAGTACTTAAAAGCTTCTTGTACAACTTGTCTTTACGACTCTTGTCTGCCTCTCCTATTAAGGACAGTTACATTTTATTGCATAGCAATTTTTTTCTAGGGTGCATATTTTCTTTTTTAAAATATTCTATGAAATGCAAGACTTTTGCTCCCCGCCCTCCCCCAGAAACTTACTTCCTTTCTTAAAGAATGCAAGATTGCACTTAAGCAAAACACTAGATCCAAGTTGTTTTACACGTAGTATTTTTGCTTCCAAGTCTGCTGAAAAGGCTTTTGTTTCTGTAAACTTGCTGTATGTATCATTTGTTAAGTAATGCTGAATTTAATCCTTTTTTCCTATTAGTTTTCTTTTTCTTTCTTCCTTTCTCCTTTCTTATTCTTTATAATATGCTTCCTTTCCTGGTAGTGCCAGCTATTAGTATTTTCCTTTGGTAGTACCATAAGGTGGGAAGGAGTTACGTATCACAAATTCCCTATGAAAGGATTGTAAACATAATGCTGAATCAATGCAGATCAAAACTTGGCACCCTTAGATGTGGGGGGAGGAGTGAAAATTCTGGAATTTCACATAACAGGTTGGATATTGTGTAAGTTTACCTTGTCCTCCGCTCAGCAGTTGAAGTTTTTTGGTTTTTATCTTTTGTCTTTTTTTTTTTTTTTAATGTGATAGTCAGATGTACCCCATGCTAAAGTCACAACAGAAATAGTTTACCTTGTCCTCTGCTCAGCAGTTGAAGTTTTTTGGTTTTTATCTTTTGTCTTTTTTTTAATGTGATAGTCAGATGTACCCTATGCTAAAGTCACAACAGAAATATGGTAGGCAAATGCCATTATCCTCAGCCACTATAAACACAAATGTTTTACATGATAGACTTTTTAAGGCCCACAATTGTGTGTAATTTTAGTAAGTGTATTCATTAAATATCTCTGATTATAATCTTGTACTTTTGTTGGACTTTCACATAAATATTCATGTATGTACAAAGAAAATGCTTTGTCAGACCATATGTCTTCTCCTTTGGACTCCCCAAACAATTTGTTGGCATTGTGTTATAATTTATCTATTTATAAGACTACAACCCCCCCAACCACCTTTTGAGCTTCTTGAGAATATGGAATATTTCAATCTTTCTATTTCCTTAATATCTAGAACAACTAAGTGCTCATTAAATACTAGATGTGTCCATATTTGTTCATTGTTAAGTATGTACTAATTACTTAGTGCTAGGTATGGTACAAGATAGAAAGAAAAAAATATTAACAAATATGGAAATTACTAAGCAATGTGTGTGATGAGAGGAAGGGGCGGGGGGACCCACAATAAACAGAAAATGTTCAAAGTGCATCAAGTATTACCAAGAGTGCAGGACTCTGGAGCCTTAAAGGCAGTGGGAATTTTTTACAGTTTAAAATATTCAGTTTTATGATTTATGAAAACTATCCTCAGTTAACAATTACCCTGTGTCCAGAATTGTAGGTTTCTTTGTAAGCTTGTTGATGGTTTTCCATGACATCAGAATAAAATCTCAGCTGTTTGCTTCTGCATTGTCTAACTTTTCAAACTTCATTTTTGTCCACTCTTTTTATCTTCATTTCTGTTCCACTCTTCTATCTTGTTTATTCTTGTCTATCCATTGTGATTCCTCAGATACTTGAAAAAGATAAGCTCTCTTCTGCCTCAGAGCCTGTTCCATTTTCTTAAACTATTCTTCTTCTTGCCCTTAAACCATCTCCTTCCTTCTTTTCCTAAGTTTGGAATAAAAGTTACTTCCTCAGAAACTTCAGTCACCCTATTTAAAACATGTACTCCCAACTATTTTCTGGCTCAGCATTTTGTTTTCCCACAGAGCCCATTACACCTTGCAATGTTATTACTTGTTTTACAAGTTTTCAGTTGTTTCCTCACTGTGCACAGGAGCTGGGACCTTATCTGTATTGTTCACTAGATTTAGGTATTGGCTGGATGAATTTAGAACTTGGAATACGTTTTCTTATAAAAATTGGTTTGATTGGTGGGTAATTTTTTCTAGGCTAGCCAGCAATAATTTTAATTTTTTACTTTTTTAAATTTTTTACTTTTTTATTGTTTTAGTTTCTTGCACCTATGGTGAGAAAGGACATTTTCTGCTTATCCTTCTGAGCACAGGCTTGATTCCGTAAAAAAATCTCATGGTTAAAATAAGTTTTGTTATATTTGTACCTCCTTTACACAGTTCCTTTCCTATATCCTTTCACTTTTCTCTCCACATAGTCTGTCCTCCTTTTGTATCTACTCCCTTGACATGCTTGTTTTTCCTTTTGCTAAAATTCAGAAGCTCCTGTTTTTTTTCTGAGATGGTTTTCATGACTATAGTCCCCGCCTCACATATGATTGGAGAAAGAATGGAGTTGGACCTGTGGTAGTATGAGTAACCTCTGTAGCTATTTACATGTGTTGAAAGTAAAGTGTCCATCTGTATGTCAAGGGCTACATGTATCTGAATTTATGTTTGCATTGTTGTTGCTAATAACTCCACAAGGACAGTGTTGCCAAATTGAAATGTTGGCAAGGAACCCCTTCAAAAACTCATTGTCTCTTTTCAAGTATGAATTATATAATGGCTGGATCTGCAAAGGTTTGTCAAAATGTAGATTTTTCTAAAAGAAAAGTAAAAGGTTAAAAGAAATCTAGGTCATGAAGGGGAAACTCAGAAGGAAAGTATCCGTTTGTTAACTAGTCCTGCCAAACGCTCAAATTTAAAACCATTAGGATCAATTGCTTGTACTTGTTCAGTGCCAAAAGCAAGCTAGCACCCTCACTGTATGAACTTTAATAATAGAAGAATGGAACACTGCAACAATAAAATTCAGATGCGGTTGGCTCAACTTTTTATTCTTCTATCAAGTGAAATTCTATCAAAGCTGATTATTCTTACCAAATATGAAAATGCATCATTCAGTTTGACTAGAAAATTTGGCTACTATAATACTAAGTGTTTTGGTGGTTATTGGTTTAATTGATCTCAAGTGATCCCATTACTATTTGTTTAACATTATACAGACATCACTTAAAAGTAGTTTTAATCAATAGCTTTGTGATATATCTGTGAGGAAGAATTCTTTGAAGTAGTGAGAAGTTAGTTTTGATTTATCATTTTGGTTTGAATTTAAATATTTTTACTTCAGAATACCTCACTTAGTTGAATTGAAGCACTGATAATTTTTTTTTTTTTTTTGAGATTTTTGAAAATGTATTTAAGGAAGTTAGCTTGACTACAATGACTGTTTTCTGGGCAAATGCTAAGAAACACGATTGGCAGAAATGTTGAATGCCACCTTAGGTCATTAATGATGTTAAAAATTTCGAAATTGAATATTTATGAGAATATAGGGAAAATATCCTGGTTCATATGTGACACCAACATTGTATCTACATGTCCAGCTCAGCCATGTCTGGTTGTCCCTATGGCCTGTACTGCCATCACCTCCTAACTTCTCCAACCACTGGCCTTCATTAGCTCTATTTCATCCCTTAATCAAGTATGAGGTGGCTCCTGCCACTCAAGACCACCCTATTACAACAGAATAAACCAGATCCTGTCATGGGTGGGGTGGGAGGGGGAGAAGAAACATCAACTACATGTTTTGCTAATAGATTACCAGATCTACTATTGAGAGGTTCTGAGTTCTCTATCACATTCTACATTCCCATACTTCATCACTTCTGGGAATTACATACTACTTTCTAGATAGTTTTTGACCAGAAGATCAAAATAC